TCCCCCTCCCTTCTTCCTCCTCCCTGCTCTTCACTGCCCTTTCCTTACTAGGCTTTCTTCTATCTCCATTCCTCTCCCCTCCCCTCCTTCTTGCCCGTTTTCCTATTTTCTTTTTCTTTTACTATTCTTTCTCGGCTCTCTCTTTTTCAGTTAGATTGAGTCGACAGTTCAACTTGTTGCTGGTAGACTTGGGAACGGAGGGATCATGGCTTGGATTCTTTTGTAAATTTTACTTTGAGAACATTGGAAGATCAGTCTGTTTTCCTGTGATCCTTGGCCAGCTCCAGAAAAGGAAAAGATTATATGTTGCATTTCCCAAGGTTTTATTACAAAGTGAACTAAGGTTATGTTAATATTGTCTATTTTTAAAATTTTTTTTGAGTATATAGCATGTTAGCATGCATCCTAAACTCAAATGTCCTCTAAAATTTATATCCCTTTTATCTATCCCTGTGAATATATTCACTTGTTCATTGGTTTCTACAACAATCTCTCTGCAGAAATTAGCAGATGTTTTCTCATTTTCTTCTTATACAAAAGGTAATATACTGTATACTATGTTGCATAATGTATTTGCTTTTAGCTTCTTCTTTTTTTGCATACTATATTATATAGCATATATGCTAATTTCCCATCAATTCAGGGAGAGATTCTTCACTTTTTTTTCAACTGCATGTATTCCATTGTCTATATATGCCACATTTAATTCATCAATCTCCAAATTGTGAAGATTGATGAATTAAATCTCTGGATGTGGATATATATACATATCTAATATATATGTGTATACACACACACACACACACCCACACACATACTGTGCTTAGGATTTACTCCTTGCACTGTGTTTAGGGCTTACTCCTGGCATGTGTTCAAGGGTCACTCCCAGCAGTGCTGGGAGTACCAGTACATGTGGTATTGGGGATTGAATTGAACCCCAGTTAGCCACAAGCAAGACAAGTGCCTTGTACTCTGTCTCTCTGATCCCAAATTTTTAATACTTTTAAAAATTTCAAATAATACTAAAATGGTTAATCTTCTGCATATGTAAAATTGTACTATTGATGAAGTTGCTTCAGCCTAACAACTGTGTAACTTTTGCATGTACCAAATTCTGAGTTCAGCCTCATTATTTCTAGATCCCCAAAGAGGTTAATAACTGCATCTCATTACAAGATTGTTGTGAAATTTCATGGGCTAGTACCTGAAAAGGACAGCTGTTGTCATTCAGTCCTTGTTGGATAAAGGTTGACAGTTCAAATGGACTGTTCAAGTTTTACATGTAAAGATTGTAATGAAGCATCTCATTCTTCAAAGGAAGCAAAGTCCTATTATAACTCTGAATGTTTATATTTCTTTTTCTGCATATTTTAGAGATATCTACAAAATAGTTTTAATTTTAGTTGCTAGACCTGTGTGGAAAGGCTTAGACAACATTTGAAAATTGGCAAGAATAGAACAACTAATTTAAAATCATTAATGCTCATGTTTTATATGTCAAAGGTAATTATAGTTCTTGATGCTTATAAAATGACATTCATTACATAGAATTTAAAATAAAAATAATTAAGAGTTCTTTATACACACAACATGGTTTACAAAGTTGTTTAGAATAGCGTTTCAGGCAGATAGTGTTACCACCTCCAATCCCTCCACCCCATGACTCGATCCCTCCACCACTGACTCCAGGTTCCCTCTCACCCCTTCACCTGATCCCTTGACAGGTACATTTTAAGGTTTAATTATCCTAGTTTGGGGGTATATGAATACCTCACCCCTATACCACAGAAGAGTCCAAGGTCCCTGCCCCTTGCCCCTATGTTATTTCCAGGCCTCCTCTTATTGTGTCCCCTGCCCCCTTCCATTTCTCTCTGTCCTTGGCATTTTTACAAACTTCTATTGTTTCTAGAGTTTATTGATTTAAACTCAACTTATAATAGTGTAATGGTTGACAGTAACTCTTGGCCAAGCAGAGGCTTCAGACTGGCCCATGCTTGTGCTGTGGGGATATCTGGTACAGATTCTTGGTTATCAGAGGATCAATGATAATGCCTTGAGTAAGCTGCAATTTATTCCTGATCATGTGTTCTAAAATATGCTTTATAAAAACATAATTACTTTGGGGTGTCTCCCAAGCATTGCTTAAGGATGCCGGGGACTATTCCTGGTGACACTTAGGCAACAGAACCAGCATTGTGGGGGCCACCAGGGCCAGACTTGGTGGTGCTTGGGGAACCATACAGTGTCAGAATTCGAACTGACTTCTCGTGCTTGCAGGACCATGTGCCCTTGGCTGCTGAACTCTCTTCCTATTCTGAGCCTGAGTGATAAATTATTGCTATTTTAAATTCACCTTTACCAAGTTAGTTTGTTGCTTGGTACATCTTTTAGCATTTAGCCTATGATTTCTCAGTCACTGGACTGCATGCATTACTCTGTAAATATGAAACAGCTGTTCTTGTTTGTAACTATTTATTTGTAACCACTCGTTTGCAAATATGAAACATCTGCTTTATTCTAGTAGATAGCAGATTCATGAGCCTTAACTCCCATCCTCCATAATTTTTTAAAAAATTTTTATTAGTGAAACACCATGAGGTACAGTTTTATGCTTACAGATTTTTGTGTTTGGGATTCAGTTATACAATGATCCAGTACCCATCCCTCCACCAGTGCCCATTCTCCATCATTTACATTTTTTAAAAAACATTTTTGTTAGTGAAACACCATGAGGTACATTTGTAGATTTACAAATTTTTGTGCTTGGGTTTCAATTATACAATGATCAAATACCCATCCCTCCACCAGTGCCCATTTCCCACCACCAAGGGTCCCAGTATCCCTCCCACCCCCCATCCCCCCCATCCCACCCTGCCTCTGTGGCAGGGCATTCCCTTTTGTTCTCTCTCTCCTTTTGGGTGTTGTGGTTTGCAAAAGAGGCTTTGAGTGGCAAACTTTATTACCAGCACCAGTTCTTTTTGTAGTGAGAACTTGGAATCAATGGGGTGGGCAGAAGGACTGATCTTGTGCTTTTCGGGGCCAGAACATTTTCACCTTGACTTCCATGATTTAGCAATACCTCGTATGTAGCTGGGATTGTTTAGTCCTTGTTGCCGCTCCTTCATCTGCCCTGTTGCTGACCTAAAAATAAGAAGTAACTTTCTTTACTTTTTGTTAGTCTTTTTGTAGTCTTAAAATATAATCATAATATTGTAGATGGTATTTTTCAGTATTTTTCTTTGGTAGGAAATAGTTTTAGGCCTTGAAAGCTTTGTGGAAAACTACAGGGTTTAATAAAATGCTTCCTTAACTTGCTTTTATTGGAATGGTTGGGAATGTTAAAGCTTTCCTATCTATGGGCTTGATTTTTTTTCCAGACTTACAAACTTTCATGTTTAACATTTCAGTCATAGGGTCTTGATTTTTTTTTTTTTTTTTTTGCTTTTTGGGTCACACCCGGAGATGCACAGGAGTTATTCCTGGTTCATGCACTCAGCAGTTACTCCTGGCGGTGCTCGGGGGACCATATGGGATGCTGGGAATCGAACCTAGGTCGGCTGCGTGCAAGACAAACGTCCTACCCGTTGTGCTATTGCTCCAGCCCCAGGTCTTGATTTTTTAAATTTGGGAATATCACAGTTTTTTCCCCTACTTTTTACTTTTTAATCCATTTATTTATAGTCATAGTGAAATTGCAAAGTTATTCATGATTAGCTTCAGGCATACAATTTTTTTATGAGGTTAAATACTCTTCATGATTTTGAGAAAGAATAAATGAGATATATACAAAATGGGGCTGTGGGATGGCACAGTGGGTAGGGTGTTTTCCTTGCCCGTGGCTGACCCGGGTTGGATTCCTCCATCACTGCCAGAGAGCTCGGCATGCTACTGAGAGTATCCCGCCTGCATGGCATAGGCTGGCAAGCTCCCCGTGGCGTATTGGATATGCCCAAAACAGTAACAACAAGTCTCACAATGAAGATGTTACTGGTGCCAGCCAGGCATATAATTTTAACACCACTGTTCCCTTCACCATACCCCAACCATCTCATTTGACTCCCTCCCACCAGTCTGCTTCTATGAGAGGGATTTTCAAGCAGAAAATGTACACTGAGAGCTGTGATATTCATGAAAAAAAAAAAAAGAAAAAAGCACGAGAACTGGTCGTCAGTAGGAAACATGCCATGTGAGGAGACTGGTGGACAGGACAGGGATAAATAATTCCTTCTATTTATTTACATAAATAAATAAATAAATACACACATATATTACATATATGTATCTATCTATCTATCTATCTATCTATCTATCTATCGATATGGTTTTGCATTGTGGTTTATAAGTGTTGCTGTTAGGGTTTCCTACATAACACTTTATCACCTAGCAGCAGCACCTCCTCGTCTGGGTTGAACACTTCCCTGCACCATAGATGTTGTCCCCTCCCTGTCCTGTCCACCAGTCTCCTCACATGGCATGTTTCCTACTGACAACCAGTTCTTGTGCCTTTTTTTTTTTTTAATGAATATCACAGTCTCAGTGTACATTTTCTGCTTGAAAATCCCTGGTGTTTTGTCTCTCCTACAATACCAAATGTATAAAGTATTCAAGTGAGTTGCTGATTTTGTGACTTTGCTCCTATTTTCTTCCATGCTTTCCTCCATATGCAGTTAGGATTAGAAACTTTCATTCATTATCACCGTCACTGTCACTGTCCTGCCGTTGTTCATCGATTTGCTCGAGTGGGTCCAGTAACGTCTCCATTGTAACATTTATTACTGTGTTTGGCATATTGAATATGTCATGGGGAGCTTGCCAGGCTTTGCTGTGTGGGCGAGATACTCTTGGTAGCTTGCTGGGCTCTCTGAGAGGGGCAGAGGAATCGAATTCAGATTGGCGGGGTCGGCCGAGTGCAAGGCAAATGCCCTACCCACTGTGCTATCACTCCAGCCCTTCATTCATTATAAATAGATTATATCGACTATCCATTTTGCTGTCTACAGGTTACCAGAGAGAGCTTCTTTACCAGAGGGATGATGGCTCTTTTAGTGCTTTTGGAAATGAAGATAAATCTGGAAGCACTTGGTAAGTATTTTTGTGACTAGATCTAGTCTCCAGAATGGGTTCTCTAATGCAGCTTTGCCCTGATATTGACACTTTATATAATCTTGTAACGTCTCCATTGGAGACTTTGTTGTTACTGTGTCTGGCATATCGAATACTCTCGGTAGCTTGCCGGGCTCTCCGAGAGGGGCGGAGGAATCGAACTCGGGTCGGCCATGTTGGCCGCTTGTAAGGCGAACGCCCTACCCGCTGATGCTTTTTCTCTTTAATCTGATTTCAAAAGCTCAAACAAATCAAATGTTTTTGTGCAGAAATTATTTCAGAACCCTTTTGTTGTTGTTGTTGTTTTTGGATGGGTAAAGCCGTAATATTTATAATGATGGTACAGTGGGCAAGAAAAATTTTTGTTAGAAATATTGGGTGATTGTGTCGTAGTTCTTAATTTAATATGACACGGCCAACACTAATTTATTATTAATACAGTCAATACAGTTTCTTTAAGGTTTGTGTGTGTGTGTATGAGAGAGAGAGAGAGAGAGAGAGAGAGAGAGAGAGAGAGAGAGAGATACAGTGATAGACTTGAGTAATGGGTATCTAGTTCTCTCCAGCCTGTGGAATCTCTGTGGTTGTGTTTTGGGTTATTACTGTCACTTGCATTATCTTTTTTTTAAAATTTTTATTAGTGAAACAGCATGAGGTACAGTTGTAGACTTATAAATTTTTGTGTTTGGGTTTCAGTTTTACATTGATCGAGTACCCATCCCTCCACCAGTGCCCATTCTCCACCACCACTGATCCCAGTATCCCTCCCACACCCCTATCTCCCTCATCCCACCCTGCCTCTGTGGCAGGGCATTTCCTTTTATTTTCTCTCCTTTTGGGTGCTGTGGTTTGTAAAAGAGGCATTGAATGGCAATCATGTTTGGTCTATAGTCTACTTTCAGCATTGCATTATCTTTAATGGTGAAATTCACTGAGAAAAAGATTGATTTACTCATCACATGAGTTGAACAAGGCTTGCTGTGGTGGTAGCTGCCTAAATCTCAGTGATCAGAGGTTTTTTTCCTTTTTTCTTTTTCTTTTTTGGTCACACCTGGTGATGCACAGGGGTTATTCCTGCCCTTGCACTCAGGAATTACTGGGAGACCATATGGGATGCTGGGAATCGAACCCAGGTTGACTGTGTGCAAGCCAAATGCCCTACCCGCTGTACTATTGCTCCAGCCCCTCAAAGGGTTTTTCTTTCTCTGCATTTTCATTACTCAGCACAGCCTCTACAGTTCATGCGTCATCCACCACCACTTCATCAGTTCACAGGAGGTCCAGGCTTTCCAGAGAGGGCTGGCACAGGCAGCACCGGCAATCAGATGCTTCAGCCTGGTGTGGATTTCTTCTAGCTTTATCATTATCAGAGCTGGTTAGGTGGCCTAATTTTAAGCAAGTAAAGAAGTGAATTACTCAGTCTATGCAACATGAAGAAGAATTAGAGATTATTAAATATTAGTAATGTTTACCATATTAATATTTTATAGGATAAAATAGATCTGCTTTAAATTTTCTTTTGGCACAAATCAGCATATCTATTCATAAATAGAAAAGTTTCAGGGTTTTATTGCTTGGTGTTCTCTTCACCTCAGTATTTAATGTTCTGTAACAAAGATCAATAAACTTTTTTTTTTTACAAAGAATCCAAGAATAAATATTTTAGACATTGAGAACCACTTAGTATCTCCATTGTATGTTATTCCTTCCTCCTTTTTCCTCTCTCCTACTTCGATCCTTTATCCTCCCAGTCAAAACTATTCTATTGGAGACCAGAGAAGAGCTCATATGTGGGTTGCATTTTTACTCAGGATTGATGCAGGTGGATTTGACCTATAAGTTGTAGTTGCTGACTCCTACCCTAGATGGGAGAACATATACTTATTTTTTGTTTTTCTGGGGAGGGCTACACCTGGCATTTTTCAGGGCTTACTAAAGGCTCTGCACTCAGACATCACTCCTGGAGGGACTCAGGAGACCATATTTGGTGCCAGGGACCAATCCTAGGGGGGTTCCATGCAAGACATGTACCTTACCCACTGTACTACTGTTCTGGCCCCTACTTTCATACTTTTCACTGGAAAGTACTGAGGATTGATTGTGAAACATATATTACTTTAGGGTTGGTGAAGCATGTAATGAGATCTTCTGTTGTAAATACCAAGAACAGTTGAGAGACAAATAATCTTGGACAATTTATTCCGTTCTCTCAGTGTGTGGAACTTCCAAACTATAAAATAATGAGGTTGAATTAGATGATTTCTAAATTTCTTTCCAAATATGATGTGTTATGAGGTGACCTGGAATTTCTTGGCCACATTCAAGTGGAAACCAGGGCTAAGAGGTGGGCAGAGTTATTTATGTTCTCGTCACATTCTCTTTGATTTTCTTCTTTTTTTGTTCCTTCCTTAGCAAGTCCTCTTTTGGTAGCTATTCTAACAGGAGAGAAAAAGTTTTTTGTTTATATTTTTCTTCTCTGGGTCATTTGGAGGACCTTAAAGTGTATTATGTATGTATTCATATGTATATTATTTTTTTTCCCTTTCTCGCAAGGTTGTCAGCTTTTGTTTTAAGATGTTTCATTGAAGCGGATCCTTACATAGATATTGATGAGAATGTACTACACAGAACATATACTTGGCTTAAAAGACATCAGAAATCCAATGGTGAATTTTGGGAGCCTGGAAGAGTGATCCACAGTAACCTTCAAGGTGGCACTAAAAGTCCAGTAACTCTTACAGCCTATATTGTTACTTCTCTCCTGAGATATAAAAAGTATCAGGTATTTCATCTTTAATTTAACAAGTGGTGGGTGGGAAAACACAAAGAAGAAGACTAGGATGGGTCAAGTTGCCTTGCAGTTTTATAGCACATTCAAAATCTGAATTTGAACACTATTTTGCTTTGCATTTGTGGGCAACTCCCAAATCCAAGACTAGAACAGAAGACTGGAATTTGTGACTTGGTGGTGAAATGCATTGCGTGCCTTGCTTTTATGAGAGGCCCTGAGTTCAGTTGCTGGTCCTGAAGACACTCATACAAAAAGTTAAACACTGAGAAAAGAGTATGACTCTGAGTAACTGAAAGAAGTCTAAGTTGACGTCCTAATATAAATGTTCTTTTTAAAAATATTTTTATTAGTGAGACACCATGAGGTACAGTTGTAGACTTACAAATTTTTGTGCTTGGGTTTCTATCATACAATGATCAAATACCCATCCCTCCACCAGTGCCCATTTCCCACCACCATGGATCCCAGTATCCCTCCCACCCCCATCCCCTCCATCCCACCCTGCCTCTGTGGCAGGGCATTCCCTTTTGTTTTCTCTCTCCTTTTGGGTGTTGTGGTCTGCAAAAAAGGCATTGAGTGGCAATCATGCTCGGTCCATACTCTACTTTAAACATGCATCTCCCATCCTGGGAGTATCCTCCAAACATCCTTTATTTGGTGCTCCCAAATGTTCTATTTTTTATTGGTGAAAAAACTGCCTATTTTAGCACTAGAAAGAGTAATTTCAGTTTTGAAACCTATATTTTATTGGTTTGGTGGTGCAGCACTTAATTAAGGCATGGATTTATAATGTGGCTTGTGAACATACTTGTGCTAGAGAAGGTGCTTTATCAATAATAGCTAATTTAACGGAGGAATGGAAATTGTATCAATTAATGTGACAAAGTTGGATGGACTGTAGGTGGATTTTATGAGTTTGTACCATAATAAATTATTCAGGTCTCGCACCAGTTATCTGATTCTTTTTCTCTTCCCTTCTCTCCCTTTCTCACCCTTCCTCTATCTTTCCTATCCTTTCCTTTCTTTCTCTTTCCCCTCTCTTCTCCTTTCCTTTCCCTCTCCTTTCTCTCCATTCCTTCCTTCTTTGGTTTCTCATTGATTTATAATATTTTGAAAAGAAAAGTTATTTCTTAGGAACAGAAAGTCTTTCAGAATTGTTGGAATATCTGGGAAGTGTAGGTTGTGGAGGATGTTTGAATTTCTAAAATACCATGGAGCAATTATAATGTTTTTTAATGTAGTTCAGGGTGCACTCACCTGTTAAAGCTGTAATTACAGGGCACAGATGTCCAGCTGAGAATGTGCGCGTGGAACTCTGTGCTTTAATGAGCTTAATTTTTCTCCAGAACTGTCTCAGTGATTGATGTCTTCACTGTTTAATGCTGATTGCATTTTGCATGACCAAAAAGAGCCTTTTTGTGTTTTAAGTTCCTAATATGTCTCATTCCAGTATTGGAGTTGGAGATATTGCATGTTGGAGATAGATTTTCTTCCTAAAGTTATAGCTTCAATACCTGAGATCAAGTTTGAGAAACATATTTCTGAACCTATATTTCCTGCTACCATCTGAGTTCATTGTTGCTAGCGGGAAAAATGTTTGCAAATCATTTCTTCTTCTCTCTAAAGAACTTTGTCTGTTTACTTCTGAAAGCAAAAGAGCATTATTATTTTCAAAATACATGGTAATTTTTAAGCATCAAGGATCACTGCTGATTTCCATTAACTTGGACAAAATCAAATGTTTGAATGAAACTAAAATTATTTTTTCACTGGATGTTTGAACATATTTTTAAAGATGTGGTAATCTTCTTAGTAATGTGTTGATATTTTTTTCTTTCAAGCCTAATATTGACGTGCAAGATTCTATTAACTTTCTGGAATCTGAATTCAATAGAGGAATTTCAGACAATTACACTTTAGCTCTTGTTACTCATACTCTGTCATTGGTGGAGAGTTTTAAAGCAAAGGAAGCTTTGGATACGCTCAACTGGAAAGCAACTCGAGAAGGTAATTCCTGTGCCCATCCGGGGGTCTGTTTTATAGTATGAGACAAATTATGTAAGAAAATTTTGAGTCAGATATGAGATTGATAACATTTAAATTTTATGAATCGCAGATGAGGTCAGGATGGTTCTGACATAGCCATACTGTTTCTAGTTTTCCAAGAACTTTCTAGAAAATTTTAGGGCCCTCTGTCTCTTTCTGTTTGATCAGTTCTGCCTTATGTTGGCTATCTTTCACGTTTCAAGGCACTATTTCTGATTTGGTGACTTTGGGTAGTTGTGAGGACCTGGGGTTGTAGAGAGACTAGGGTTCCAAATCTGGTTCTGCTACTTACCTTTGTGGGCTTTAGTTTCTCCAAATGGGAATCAGATGAAGATAAAATCTATTTTTCTAATTGCTGTGAGGATTACATGAGAGAATGTGCAGTGCCTGCCATCTAGCAAGTATTCAGAAATGTAAATGACAATGCTAATAACAGAAATGCAGATGCCAAGCAGATGCAGTTATGCCTTCATATTTTTCTCCCCTGTATGGGAGATTGCATATGGACTACAATAAGGCAAATATTGTTACTTCCAGAGACTCTGTGTGTGTGTCTGTGTGTGGTGTTAGAAAAAAAAAATAATGTCCATTTACTTAAGATGGAATAACTTATAAAGTTACAGTTTTACATTATAACTTTGAACTTGTAAAATAGAAAGTGCTTAGAAACTTCTAGGACCGTTAAACATATATGTTAGATTTTTAAAATTTTGTGCCGCACATGATGGTACTCAGGACTTATTCCTGGCTCCTGGCAGAGCTTGAGGGAACACCTTGACTGGCCGTATGCAAGATCAGTGCCCTTCCCATTGGACTATTGCTTCAGCTCTATAAAACTATATATTCTTATTTGCAGCTAGTTTAGATTGAATTCTTACCTATTGCAGTGTGGGAGACTAGAAGATTATTGCATAGAGGATGAAGTGTCTATGACATTTCTTTGTGTAGCTAAGTGATAATAATCTCATATTCAACTTTAAGTATAATTATCTAAATAATAATCTATAAGTAAAGGATGGGGCACAAGGGAGAATGTTTCTCCAAGTGCTAACAGGAATATCTCTGGAAAAAGTGTGGAGTTAGCTGAAGTTTCTCATGGAGGAGGAAGATTGGGGCTTGATTTTTGAACTTCTATCTACAGCTTTCAGATAAATAAGAGAAGGAAAATATTCCCAGAATGTTAGAGCTGGTTAATGACAGAATTCCAGAACAGAATTCATTTCAGTGCTTCCCCCAAATATTTTTTTGGGTTGGCCTGATTAGATCATTTATATGCATTGTCCTCTGCAATGCCACCGGACTCTGCACCAGGCTGTTTTCACTCGGGGTGCCCCAGAGTATGGCGGGCGAGAGCCCTCCTCGCTCCCAAGGGACCCAGCCCTGACAGCTGACCTCCACTACCCAATGGCCACCACGCTCCAGGCCACTTTCTGGACCGCACGGCCGCTTTGCAGCTGCATGACACATTATAGGATACTTTCTACCCATCTTCCATAATTGCCACACCATATTTGATAAGGTTCAGACTGTAGGCAACAAATCCACTGTCCACTGCCCTCCCGTTGTTCATCGATTTGCTCGAGTGGGCCCAGTAACATCTCCATTTTCTTGAGACTTGTTACTATTTTTGGCATATTGAATACATCACAGGTAGCTTGCCAGGGTTTACCGTGCAGGTGAGATACTCTAGGTAGCTTGCTGGGCCCTTCGAGAGGGGCGAAGGAATCGAACCTGGCTCTACCAGCTGACTGCGCACAAGGCAAATGCCCTTCCGTTGTGCTATCGCTCCAGCCCTGGCAACAAATCATAGAGAGAAATATATAAATATATGCCTCTCGGAGAGCCCGGCAAGCTACTGAGAGTATCCTGCCCTCATGGGCAGAACCTGGCAAGCTCCCCATAGCATATTCGATATGCCAGAACCAGGAATGACAACAGGTCTCATTCCCCGGCCCTGAAAGAGCTTCCAGTCATTGGGAAAAGATGAGTAAGAAGAGGCTGCTAAAATCTCAGGGCTGGGAGGAATAGAGACGTTACTGGTGCCCGCTCGAGTAAATCGACGAACAGTGGGATGAAGTGATCCAGTCCTCTGCAATCTACTATTTTTTATTATTTATGGGTTAATGGTTTGCAATTAAGCATAATAAATTTTTCTTAGAAAGAATATTTTTATCAAAACTTCCTCAATTAAAAGTGATATATAAGTGTGCGTGTGTGTGTGTGTGTGTGTGTGTGTGTGTGTAAGACTGTACATATACTTGCAAGGCACAAATATATGCATAAAGACAAAATTTGTGCCATTCAAGTAGTGCTTCAGCCAGTGTGGGAGTATCTCATGGTAGGCAATTTAGAAGTTTGTTATTGGCCAGTTTGTCACTACAGAATCTCTCTGGCAGGAGACGTGCAGTTCTGGGCCGCATCAGTGTCCGAACATCCTGACTCCTGGCAGCCGAGCTCCCAGGATATTGAAGTTTCAGCCTATGCTCTGCTCTCGCACTTCCTGCAGCATCAGGTCTCAGAAGGAATTCCAATTATGAGGTGGCTGAGCAGGCAGAGAAATAGCTTGGGAGGCTTTGTATCTACCCAGGTGAGATGATGGTTTTGAATATTTTAACTTCCTCTACATATTTTAAGAAATACACGAAAGTTATGTAAAAAAATTATGAAATGGGGCTGGAGTGATAGCACAGTGGGTAGGACTTTTGCGTTGCATGCAGCCGACCCAGGTTCAATTCCCAGCATCCCATATGGTCCCCTGAGCACATCAGGAGTGACTCCTGAGTGCAGGGCCAGGAGTAAAAAACCCTGTGCATCTCCGGGTGTGACCCAAAAAGCAAAAAAAAAATTTTCTGAAATTACCTGGCAGTTCATTTCAGTTAAACTTATTTTTCTAATTTTATTTTTTCATTACTGATATGAATCATGTCTGTTATTTATATGGAATTGGTTAGCTCCCCAACTGTCTGGGGCCTTCTCCATTCTGTAGGAACTGATGGAGATGTTCAGTTCTCTTCAGCACTTATTTTCTGAGTCTCTCCTGACCCAGAAGTCTCTAGACTCAGAAATCTCAAACATCTCTAATGAAGATTCCACTTTCATGGGAAGTGAACACATGTATAGCTGGTATCCTAACTATTTCTAAATTTCTATTTTTTTATATTATTTTTTTTTAATTTTTTTTTATTAGTGAAACACCATGAGGTACAGTTGTAGATTTACAATTTTTTATGCTTGGGTTTGATTATACAATGATCAGATACCCATCCCTCCACCAGTGCCCATTTTCCACCACTAAATTTCTTTTTGAAGAGTTTGAGGGACACTTATACACACAAATGTTTTTCTTTCCTTCATAGGACACCGTTGTGGCCTTGAAGGCCCTATCTGAATTCGCAGCCCAAATGAACACAGAAAGAACAAATATCCAGGTGAATGTGTCGGGGCCAAGTTCACCAAATCCTGTCAAGTTTGAGATTGGAACACAGAATCGCTTTGTTCTGCAGACAGCCGAGGTGTGAACCGTGGGGCGGTGGCTTGCAATCCTGTGTGGCGGTCCCTTGTACTGAAATACTGCTTTATTTTTATCTTCTTGACTTCAATAAAGATTTTGTTCTGAAAGGCTAGAGACGGGAAATAAGAGGTGCCTTCCTTTGAGCTAAGGGAAGGAGTGGAGGGAAACCCTAGATAGATTTGGAAAAAGCGAAAACATGGCAATGTTAATTTGGCATCTTGTTTGTTTCCTTATTTATTTTCTGTCCTGGGGATTGACTCCAGGGGCTCATGTAAGCAAGGCAAATGCTTAATCCCTGAACTGTCTCCTGCCTGGTACTGTTACATTGGGAAAGGAGTTGTGTCCTCCATAAACACTGTGCTAAATTTCTTTCATGTGCAATTACTGTGTTTACTTATGAAGCTAATTCTAAGATGTGAATGCTTTTATCTCCAATGTGTTCATGGCAGAATTGAGGCTGAGAACAGTCACTTAGTCATGAGTATTTAACTAAGAGCTGAAATTGAATCCATGGTTTCAGAGACAATTATTTTTTTAAACAGTAGGACATGTCTTCTGAGGAGAATTGACAAGCCAGTATTAGAATTTAACTTTTGACATGATAAAAGAAATGTGTTAGCCCCTAACTTGATTTCCTTTGTTGGCGTTGGGGGAAGTTGAGTATGATGGATGAAAGTGATAACTTCTAGGCACATTGCAAGAACTTGAATGTGGGAAATGAGCTTAATCACTCTTTTTCTTCTTTTATTTAGCTTGAATTGGCACAGCCAACTGAAGTTGATATTTCTGCAAACGGCTTTGGAATTGCCATTTGTCAGGTATGTAATAAACCTTACCTTTGCTTACTTAAGTATACTTGCTTAAGTAGAGCTCCATGATTTGCAAAGTTATTCAGTTGAGTTTTTGACTTACTACATGTTCTAGCACCAATCTCACTCCAGTGTCTTATTCCCTTCATTGGGGTTCTCAGGTTTTATTCTCCTAGTCCCCATCCTCATCCTCAGCCTGCCACCCTGACAGGCACCTTTTAAAGTTGGGTGTTGAAATATTTCCAGTGTCATTGACTCTGTAGTTTGGACATCTAGCTGTACCATTCCTTTACACCGGGCTACAGCGATAGCACAGCAGGTAGGGCATTTGCCTTGCACGTGGCCGACCCAGGTTCAATTCCTCTTCCCCTCTCGGAGAGCCCGCTAGCTACCGAGAGTAACCCGCCCTTACAGCAAAGCCTGTCCAGCTCCCTGTGATGTGTTTGAGATGCCAAACACAGTAACAACAACTCTCCCGGTGGAGACGTTACTGGTGCCCGCCTGAGCAAATCCGTGAGCAACGAGAAGACAGTGCTACAGTGCTACTTCTTTACACGACTACTGTACTTGAAAGTTTCTTGACCCAGTGAGTTTCTAAAATTGTCCATAACCTCCTGTGTGCATTCAATTGCCCAATAAAGCTGAGACAGACAGTTTTACTGCCCTTACTTCTGTCAAGTCAGTGAATTCATTACACATAATGAATAATGTGTAAATATTATAAAGAAAAGGAAGACACTTTAAAAAACAGCCCCTCTCGGAGAGCCCGGCAAGCTACCGAGAGTATTCGATATGCCAGACACAGTAACAACAAAGTCTCCAATGGAGACGTTACTGGGCCCGCTCAAGCAAATCGACGATCAACGGGAGGGCCTTTACCTTACCTTTACCTTAAAAAACAGCCAGTTACAACAGGTACACTTTCCAAGAAGGGCATGTGGTCAGGTAATATGTGGAAATTTCAAAGAATTTTTTTTGAATGTTTCTTTTCTTTTTTGACTTGGGGTCACTCCTGGCAGAGCTTTAGGGCTCCATAGAGCCATAGAGGCAGGCTGGGGGAGGGGAGGATGGTGGAGGAAAACTGGGCATTGGTTGTGGGCAATAGATACTGGTGGAGGGATGGGTGTTGGATCATTGTATGACTGAAATCCAACCATGAACAGCTTTGTAACTGTGTATCTCACGGTGACTCAATTAAAAAATATATATATATTAAAAAAATATACTCAATAGAGTTGACAATAAATTCACTTTTCCCTTCAATGGAATGCTTTACATTCTTTGAAAAAAGATTCCCAGGAATGTATGATTGAATGTAAATGTGAAATTCCCATTAATCTATAATGCTTTTTTTGGAATTATATATAGCTTCTTAATTAAAAATACTTGTTTCTAAACTTCAATAACAGTATTTATTAATAATTGTATTTAGTTACTAAAGTGAATTATTTTCTAAGTTGAGGATTACAGATCTAGTTAGGGTTATCCCAAGAAGAATTAGTCATTGACTAATATTTAGATTATAAGACTATGGGAATTTATTGATAATAATGATAGTGATAATTTGTGATTTATTGTAGCTCAATATTATTTATAATGTGAAAGAACCAGACTCCTCTAGAAGAAAAAGGTCCATCCAAACTCAAGAAGCCTTTGATTTAGATGTTGCTGTTCATGAGAATAAAGGTGATACCAATCACTTGAATCTGAATGTGTGCACAAGGTTGGTACTTTCTTCAAAATACACATTTAAAGATTTAATTTTATATATAGTTATGAAATTATTACACTAGAGATTTAACAAAGTTTTCTCTTTCCAGTTGGCACTACACTTCAGATTGTCAGTTACTAAAACTGTTTATGAAATTTCCCTGTACTTATAATACATTTGAATATAACAATTAATAATCTCAGTTTTAATTTATAAAAATCTTAATCATAGCATTGCAAAATTGGTTATTTTATCTTATATAATTGTTTTAGGTTTATAAAATGTTTTAACCTTTAGCTTTCTGCTTTAATTCAAAAAACTTTAAGTACATATAAATTCAGTGGGAAAAAATAGATCTTCATAGCTATGGCAAAGAAAATTTCAGCTTAAAGATCCTCACCTTGGATAAGTAGGTGCTTATTATTTCTGGGGGTACTCTGTAACCGGAGTCTTAAATTTAGCTTGTATCCAGAAGCTTTCAAAGATTTTGTTGAATCACGTGGACAAGGAGTTCCACTTCAAATCTAGTGACTTGACAGAATGAAAGGCAGTAAAGCTGTGTGCCTCAGCTTTATTGGTAACTGAATATACAAAAGAGTTTGAGGGCAATTTTAGAAACTCATTGAGTCAAGAAACTTTCAAGTTTCTTTATTTTTGTCTGCATGTCCACTTACCTATGCATTACTTGGGGCAAAGCTGGAATTTATTATAAATATTTTTGATACCGGTGCTGGAGCGATAGCATAGCAGGTAGGGCATTTGCCTTGCACATGGCCGACCTGGGTTCGATTCCCAGCATCCCATATGGTCTTCTGAGCATCACCAGGAGTAATTCCTGAGTACAGGAATAACCCCTGTACATCGCCGGGTGTGACGCAAAAAATAAAAAATATTATTGATACAGACGAATTTCTGTTTACTGTTTTTGAATATTCTTTAATACTTTGCTTGATTTCGTCTTGCTATTGGGCTGGTAGTTTCTGCTATGGCCCTGAGACATATCAGAAGTTCATCAAGGTAACCTCCGAATGTTCCTCCACATGGTCAACCTTATTAGCCAAAGCCTGAACCTATTCTCCTGCATAATTGCTACCATCTATACTACCTTTTTGTTATTTTGTTAATGATTTTGTTGTAAAATGTCACATGTGTGCCAGAGCTATAGTATAGCACATAGGGAGCTTGTCTTGCATATGGGACAACTTGGGTTCAGTCATTGGCACTATATATGATCTCTAAAGTCCCACCAGGAGTGATCCTGAAGCACAGTCAGGAGTAAGCATTGAGCACTATTGGGTGTGGCTCACTCTCAAATCCATGTAATACCCCCCTCAACAAAAGAGAAACGTCAAACGTATTTTCCTTTTTTTCTCACCTTGCTGGGAATTTGGGGGCAGCAGGAGGATAGCAGAATTTCTCCAGTGATTGTTTTCGGCTGAGAAGAAAGTAAGATTGTGTTTCTTGACTAAGGTCATACTTGGGCACTGTTCCAAAATAACCACAGGAAATTGTTATTGTAAGCAATCACAACTTATATTTACCATAAACATACATGCAAACATTGTACCAGGCACTTTCACTTGCACTTACAATGACTCTAGAAAGTAAGTACTGTTTCTATCCCTGCTTTTCTCTTTATTTTTTATTTTATTTATTTTTTAAAATTTTATTAGTGAAACATCATGAGGTACAGTTGTAGACTTACAAATTTTTGTGCTTGGCTTGCAATTATACAATGTTCAAGTACCCATCCCTCCTCCAATGCCCATTTCCCACCACCACGGATCCCAGTATCCCTCCCACCCCCCCACCCCCTATCCCACACTGCCTCTGTGGCAGGGCACTCCCTTTTGTTCTCTCTCTCCTTTTGGGTGCTGTGGTCTGCAAATGAGGCATTGGGTGGCAATCATGTTCAGTCTATAGTCTACTTTTAGCATGCATCTCCCATCCTGGGCAGATCTTCCTAGAACCCTTTATTTGGTGCTCCCTTCTCTATCTGAGCTGCCTTTGCCCTTAGAATGTGCGGCTGTCCTCCAAGCCATGGAGTAAACCTACTTTTCTCTTGAATTAATTCAGTGATTCATTCACTTACCCTGTAAATGCATTGTCTCTTAACATGCCAGGTAGAGTATCAGATATGCGACTCTAACAGTGACTCTGCCTTCCCCACCCACCCCTTAAAAAGGGCACAGACCTTGGCTTCATGTAACTATTTAAAGGGGGGATGGAGACACAAGTTAATAAAATAAAATCCCTTAAAGTGGCCGAGATTAGTACCAGGAATTTTGCTTCATGGCTTGGAGGCCAGCCACACGTGCTAGGGAAAAAGGCAGCTCAGATAGAGAAGGGAGCACCAAATAAAGGGTGTTGGGAGGATCCTCCCAGGATGGGAGAAGCATTCTGAAAGTACACTATAGACCAAACATGATTGCCACTCAATGCCTCTCTTGAAAACCACAGGACCCAAAAGGAGAGAGAGAGAGAGAGAGAGAGAGAGAGAGAGAGAGAGAGAGAGAGAGAGAGAGAGAGAGAGAGAGAGAGAGAAAGGGAATGCCTTGCCACAGAGAGCAGGGTGAGATAGGGGGACGGGGGATGGGAGGGATGCTGGGACCCGTGGTAGTGGAGGATGGGCGCTGGTGGAGGGATGGGTACTTGATCATTGTATAACTGAAACCCAAGCACAAAAATTTGTAAGTCTACAACTGTACCTCATGGTGTTTCACTAATGAAAAAAAATGTCTGAAACTTTAGTTTTAAAAAATAGCTAAGAAAAGATCATAGAGTCGGGAACCAAGAGAGGGGCTTCTCTCTCTAGGGAGATCAGGTGGATAAGAAGAGGAGGGACTTGAGGTGTCACCAGGAGTCAAACCTTAAAGGAATCTCATTCTTTTATTTATTTATTTATTTATTTATTTAGGAATCACCATGGGGTACAGTTACAAACTTACGAACTTTCCTGTTTGCATTACAGTCATACAACGATCCCTCCACCAGTGCCCATTCTCCTTCACCAATGTTCCCACCGCCCCCACCCCATCCCCCACCACCCCCACCCCATCCCCCACCACCCCCACCCTGCCTCTGCGGCAGAGCATTCCCTTTTATGCTCTCTCCTTTTGGGTGCTGTGGTTTGCAATAGAGGTATTGAGTGGCCATCGTGTTCGGTCTCTAGTCTACTTTCTGCACGCATCTTTCAACCCGAACAGGTCCTCCCAACATCCTTTACTTGGTGTTCCCTTCCCTATATGAATTGCCGTTTCCCCCAGCATGTGAGGCCGGTTTCCAAGTCATGGCGCAGACCTCCTGGTTCTTATCTCCACTACTCTTGGGTGTTAGTCTCCCATTCTGTTACTTTACAAGGACTCTCGTTCTTTTTTTTTTTTTTTTAATAGTGAGACATCATGAGGTAGAGTTACAGACTTACACACTTTTGTTCTTGGGTTTCAGTTATACAATGATCAAATACCCAACCCTCCACTAGCGCCCCTTTCCCACCACCGCGGATCCCAGTATCCCTCCCACCCCCCATCCCCCCATCCCCCCCATCCCACCCTGCCTCTGTGGCAGGGCATTCCCTTTTGTTCTCTCTATCCTATTGGGTGTTGTGGTTTGCAAAAGAGGCAATGGGTGACAATCATGTTTGGTCTATGGTCTACTTTCAGCATCTCCCATCCTGAGAGGATCCTCCCAACACCCTTTATTTGGTGCTCCCTTCTCTATCTGAGCTCCCTTTTCCCCTAGCATGTGTGGTTGGCCTCCAAGCCATGGAGTAAAAGGAATCTCATTCTTTAGGGAAACTAAAATACGGATGTAGAAAGAAAGAATGCAGGAGGGATGTGAGATTCAAAAACTTCCATTCAGTGTCAGGATCCAAATGAGCAACAGAGCCCAATAAGCTGAGGGAGCAGATGTGTGTAGATCTTGATATCCCTCCATCTTTCTACATAATTTCTCCTCAGGGGGATGGAAAAGGTTTTCATGTGAGGCGAATAATATTATAAAGGGGTTTTGGAGGAGCTCGAGATTATAGTACAGGAGTTAAGGCACCAGCTAAGCCAGATTTCATTACTCACACTGCATATAGTCCCATGAGCACTGCCAGAAGTGATCACTGAGCACTGCTGGTGTACTCCCTCCCCCCAAAAAGATGTGTTAGAAACATCTGATATGAAATACAAAGAATATTGTTTTTTGTTTTTTTGGGGGGGGCACACATTGCTGTGCTCAAGGTTTACTCCTTGTTCTTTGCTTAGGGATCACTCCTGCCAGAGCTTGGGGGGCCATAAGGGGTGCCAGGAATCAAACCCATGTCACCTGTGTGTGAGGCAAGTGTCTTACCCACTATAGTATCTCTTCAGTTCCAAAACATAAATAATATTTAAAGTGAAATTTATCAGTAACTATGGAAAAAATTAGCTGATATGTCAGGCACTTTATTCCCATTAATAGTGTTCAAAACTTAGCTCAGACAAGATTTCTGTGTGGCTTAGTAACTCAACACATTCTGGCTGGTATTTATTTTTATTAAGTTGTGTCTCCAATCGATCAGAATGTCTTGGATAAGGTAATGAAGATAATGCCATTCAGGCAGCGGGAAGCTTTCTTCATCGGTATTTTTGCTCAGCTAAAAACACCTCTAGTATTCATGCAGTTACTCATATTCACTTGCACCTATTTTGGCTGATTATTCCATTGGCAGATGGTTTCAGTTGCTTGGGGTTGCCGGTCCAGTCCCATCAACAGTTGAACTATATGGCTTTTCAGTCAGTCATGTTTGGCAGGCAGAACTTTGCTTCTCTAAAAGGCAAGAATTTCTAACAACCCTTCTTGTTTTTGTCATCTGGAAGGACAACAGACACTCACTTGAGAATGCTCTGATCTCTCAGGTTGGGGAGGAACTTCTTTCCATAACTATTCTGGGCTCTCTGGGCCCCGAACAGACCTCTTGCCACCTCTTCGTTTTAGAAAAATATTTATTTCAAAAGAGACAAGATGTTGTTAGTAGCCAGACTCTTTGATGCTCACATTGTGTACTACAGGGTGAGAGAATGATGCAGTATAATAAAACTTTCCAGGGCTTGGTAATTCTCTCAAGGTGGCCCAAGAAAATACAAAATGTGCTCCAAGTATGTGGGAGAACAAAGGGAAGGACTCTCCCTACTGCTCTTCTTTTCTAAAACCAGATGAAGCCAAGGTTGCTGAAGACTTGGCTGTGGTCTCCCCCTGAGTGGTCAAGATTTGCCTCTTTTCCAGTTCTGGGCTTTCAGCTGGAAATTTGAGTGCTGTCAACTTTGGAGAAAGTGGAAAATGCAAATCTGTTTGGAACAATCCTTAGAACTCAGAGTTGCCTGTTCAGGGGGCCTCTAGGTTGGGCTTGTGACCTTGTAGGCATGTTGTTGTATCAGATGAACCCTGATGAGGATTATTCCTCATCAGGTTGAAAGTTACTAGAATGTCATGCATGTTTGAAGAGGATTAGAGTTTTTCTGTATTGGCTATTATTTCAACTAGACCATAAATATTTGGAATAAATCTTGGCCGTTTCATTTTCCATCTGAAGGTAGTTTGGGAAGAGCTTTAGACTATTCTTAAAGGATCTTAATGTGTTTCTTCCTTTCTTTTCTCATTGATGTAGGTTTTTGGAACCAGAGAGGAGCGGCATGGCTCTCATGGAAGTTAACCTACTCAGTGGTTTTGCTGTGCCGTCAGATACAATTCCTCTCAGTGAAATAGTGAAGAAAGTGGAGTATGATCATGGAAAGCTCAACTTATATTTAGATTCTGTAAGTAGTAAAACCTCAATTTCCTATCGGTAACCTTCGATAAAGCCATCACTTTTCATGTTCAAAAACCAACCTTACCTGGTTCATGTCAGTTATTCTTGCTTTTTATATGTCTAAATGATTTGAAAATGAAAGCCAAATATTTAAAGTAGCTAAAAAGATCACTTAATCACTTAAATCCCCGTTAGTCGTCGAGTTGCTCGAGCGGGCGCCAGTAACGTCTCCATTTGTCCCAGCTAAAAAGATGTCATTACAAAATCAGTTAAAGAGAATTGCCACATTATAATTATAAAAGCTCATTTTTTCATTTAAAAAACCCAAAATGTATTGAATCCAAAGCCTCACTCATGCAAAACAAATATTGTTTTTTCTCCTTTTTATTGATTCATCGTGAGGTACAGTTACAAAGCTTTCATGTTTGAGCTTCGATCATGCAATCAGCAAACACCCATCTTTTCACCAGTGCACGTTTTTCACCACCAAAATCCCCATTATCCACCCCGCACCCCCACACCCCAATATTCCACACCTTCCTCTGCCTGTGTAGCAGAAAATTTGCACAATATTCTATCTCTCTCTCTCTCTCTCTCTCTCTCTGGTTACCTACTTTGGTTACCTTCAATATTTTGAGACCAGTTCCACCACCACTCATACTTGCCGAAAAGGCAATGCTAGACAATTTGTTTTGTATTGCCCGGCAAGCTACCGAGAGGATCTCGCCCGCACAGCAAAGCTGGCAAGCTCCCTGTGACGTATTCGATATGCCAGACACAGTAACAACAAGTCTCACGATGGAGATGTTACTGGGCCCGCTCGAGCAAATCGATGAACAATGGGAGAACAGTGCTATAGTGTGCTTGTTATGGATAAAATATAATGTTGCATGGATGCTCTAGGAATTCTAAAATTTTAGCCACACCCAGTAGTGTTCAGGGCTTAACTCCTGGCCCTGCACTCAGGGATCACTCTTGACAGTGCTGTACTATCTCTCCAGCCCCTGAAAAAGAATATTATTAAAAAAAAGCATTTTAATCAAAGTATTGAGATTTACAGTACTGTTCATCATACTTTTGCATGGATATGACATTCCAACACTGTACCCATCACTATAGTGCTCACATTCCTCTTCTAGTTCCCAAGGATCCCTCCCAGAGCACCCAGAGGTGAACTTAGTTTTATAGACAAATCTACAGTTCCAAGTACTGTGTTAATATGTACGTTTTTAATATTCTTTAACAATCATGGGCCTGATTGGAACTTGAAAAATAATTTTTTAAGATTAAAAAATTAATTGATCTTGCAGTTTCTCTTGGATCTGCGATGTTCTTGTTAGTGGTTATCTTAATTTGAATGACCAATACATTTTGATTCATTAATTAGACTTGACTCTTGGTGAGTAGTAACATTTCAAGAAATTGCTCAATTTAGATTCTGTAACCAATATTGTTTATGAAAATAAATATAAGTCTCCCCTCCGGAGGTAAAAAAGCTGGCCTTCATTTCACATGTAAGTCAGTTATTGGTGATGGGGTGGATTGTGGGTTGTTGGGTAACTCTTCCCTGTGGTGACCTCACTTACAGGTGAGGTGACTCCCCTGAATTGTGGACATTTCTCTGGAGAAATGGCTGCTGTAAGCTCTTAGTAGTGCAAAGAGTGGAGTGTGCTGTTTGAGATGGGGAGATGGGTGAGGCAGTAGGACCAGGGATCAGCACCCTGGACTTGGTGCTTCCTTCCACACTCAAGTTTTTGGTTTCCCTTTTAATACATTGAAAGTAATATTAACATTTTTTCATAAGGTTTTACAATGAGATTATTGATGCAACCATAGTACTGGGTTATGGAATCTTCTGCTATCCTAAGATTCCTTTTTTAAGAAAAAGAAAAATCACCATGACCTGTTTTCTTTTACCTCCAGTGCATTACATAGGGGCTGGAGTGAGTAATAGTACAGCGGGTGGGACATTTTCCTTGCACATGGCATCCCATATGGTCCCATGTACCACCAGGAATAATTCCTGAGTGAAGAAGAGCCAGGAGTAACCCTTGAGCACTGCCAGGTGTAGCCCCAAAACAAAACCAAAATTAAACAAACAAAAAAACAATCAAACCTCCCCAAACTATTTGTTGCATATTTTACACACACACACACACACACACACACACACACACACACACACACACACACACACCACTTTAATAGATGTCGTTAAGAAATTGGAGTCCTTTAACTAAAAACAAGTTTATAGGAGACATTGGGATTTTGTGTCAACATTAAATAAAAGTAGATTTAAATAAAAAAAGAAAAGAAAAAGAAATCTTTTGCTTTATCATGAATATATTCTCTGTCACCCCTTTAAGTTTCTTCGTGTGTCTGATTTTTTTTAAGGTAAATGAAACCCAGTTTTGTGTTGATATCCCTGCTGTGAGAAACTTTAAAGTTTCAAATATACAAGATGCTTCTGTGTCCATCATAGATTACTATGAGCCAAGTAAGTGTCTTCTGGAGTTCCTAATACTCTAAAATTTGTGTCAGACATTCCTTTCTTTCTTTATTTGTTCAGAGTGGTTACTTATTAGATTGTATTATTTTCAACCTATGAAGAGAGTCTTGTGGTTGGGATGCAGGGGATAATTTTCCACTTATGTATTATTATTCACTGTATCACTGTCTTCCTGTTGGTCATCGATTGCCTCGAGCAGGCCCCAGTAACATCTCCTTTGTCCTAGCCCTGAGATTTTAAAAAGTGCCACATTCGAGGTTCTTTCAGGGTCAGGAGAATGAGACCTATCATTGTTACTGGTTTTTGGCATATTGAATATGCCACGGGGAGTTTGCCAGACTCTGCCGTGTGGGCAGGATACTTTTGGTAGCCTTTGCCGTATTATTATTATTTAGAAATAATTTTATTTATAAATACCTTTATTTAGGTTCAGTAATTTATGATGTTGTTAATAATAAAATTTCAGGCAAACAGCATTCCAACTCCAAACTAGTTGTCAGCATCTCTTCATCAGTGTCCCAAGTTTCTTCCCACTCTCACCTGCCTCTTTGGTAGAATCATTAAAAAAAATTTAATATCGGGATCCAGGGAAATAGTATAGTGGGTCGGATCCCTTGCTTTGCATGCTGCTATCTTGGGTTCAATTGCTGGCACCCTGCCAGGAGTGAGCCCTGAGCACAGAGCCAGGAGTAAGCTGAACACCACCTGGTGTTGCCCCCAAACCAAAAAAAATAAGAAAATGTAATTATAGATTGGTTCACATGTTTTTATAATAGTATTGGCACTTATGGTTATTTATTTATTATTTATTTATTTATTTTGATGAGATTATATGGAGCCAGGGGCAGTTTTTGGGTGTGATTGCCAAGCTACTGGTAAACTAGGAAGATGGGAGGACGAGGCCCATTTTTGCTTCAAGTGAGCTTGGAGATTTCAGTCATGAGTCCCGCATACCTTGGGTCACACCCAGCGATTTTTAGGAGTTACTCTTGGCTCTGTACTCAGGAATCACTCCTGGTGGTGCTTGGGGGACCATATGAGATGCTTGGGATAGAACCGTGTGTCAGCCACGTGCAAGGAAAATGCCCTACCCGCTGTACTATCAGCCCTGACACTTATGGTTTTGATGTATGCAGTTACCTCATCTCTGTAGCACCAAAGTGTCTGAGGCCCTGTCATTTTCCATTTAAGTGAAGACAATTGCAAATTTATCAGGGTCGCTTGACAGCACTTAGCATGTAAGAGTGAAAAGTGATGTTTTTATTTATAGTATTTTTAGTGTTTAATTGTGTAAACACACGTATAACATTTATAATATTTGTAAAGGAAAAATGTCACAGGAGGTCTAGTTGTGTTGCCTGTCCAAGTTCTGCTTCTAGTTCCAGCACCCAGCCCATCACCTTCTTACTTTAAAATGGTAGTTTTCCAGGAGAGAATGTGAACAGTCCTCTGCTGGTTTTACACGGACTGTGTTAGTGGGTTTACTGTTTCTATATTGAGAGTCTGTCATGATAAAATCCATATAGTATAACTTATAGTTTATGTTTGGTATATTAAGAAAATATAGGGTGGAAAATAACAGCTTTTATTTTACTAGTAACCTCTTTATAAAAGCTAGAAATGAAGGATGTGAAAGTAGAGATCTGGTTTGGAGATCACCCAAGTTAACTAGGACTGGTTTTTATTCTGTCATAGTGTGTTTTTTGCAAGTGTTTACTCTCTAGGCTGAGGATCATATTTGAAGTGAGTTAGCCTGTATCCACAGGTCTGGGGAGAATAACCAGGTTGCCAGAGAATAATTTAAAAAAAATTGATTAATTAATTATTTTTTTAAAATCGAATCATTGTGAGATACAGAATTACAAAACTGTTCACGGTCGGGTTTTAGTCATAGTGTGTTCCAACACCCATCCCTATACGTGACTTTATACATCAATGTCATCAAAACTAACACTACTTTAAAAAAAGAACTTTACAATTAACTTTCCTACATTGTTGGCAGTGCTTGGTTGGGTACTCGTGTATGACTAAGGTATATAGATCTAGTTCTCTCTTGAATTAAGAAAACATTTCATCTCCTCTTTTGCTCCTGTTGGAATTGGGAACAGCGTCTGCCCAGATTCCTATGGGACGTTTCATGGGAAAACTTTTGTAGCATGTTATATTTTCTGAGTGAAGAATAGGATTCACTGTGGAGACTCAAAGATACTATCTAGTTATCTAACATTGTTGTTTATCTGAGTTATAAAAGTTTACAGCTGTTTGAGGTCTGTAGAGAACATTCTAGACATTTAGGAAACAAGATTCAGTGCATACATTTTTTTTTTGTGGAAAACAACTTAATTTTAAAGGGGGACCATTAAAAATAATAAGCTAGGGAACTGAAGTGATAGTACAGTAGGTTAGGCACTTGCATAGCACACAGTTGACCCTTGTTTAATCACCGAGCACCTCATATTGTCCCCCAATCATGACCAGTAATAATTCATGAATGTAGAGCCAGGAGGAACCCCTGAACATTTGTGGGAGTAGCCTACAAACAATCAAACAAGCAAAACCCCCCAAACCAAAGACTAGCCTAAGATAAAGTTGATTTGAATAATAAAAATGTTCCAATATGTTTTGAGTGCCCTCAAATTAAGAAATGTTTGTAATATTAAATATTTTAAAAAGTCGTGAAGAAATGGAAAAAATCTCAAAGTAGGTAAAAATAAAAATCATTTATGTTTCATAATTTTGGGTGATATATTAACTTATGCTATAAAACCTACTCTAATGGAAAGTTACATTTTGTTTTGTTTTTAATTTTGGTGACATCCCAGTTGGTAGCTTGCAAAGCAAGTGCCTTACTTGGCTTACTATCGCTCCAGGCTCCAAACTCAATGTTTCTTAATGACTATATGCTCAACATTTTAAAGCAGGAAAACAAGGTATTGCAAAGGCAGGCCTCTTCCATATTTTTATATAAAACCAAAGGTAAATATATTTTTTTTCAGTAGTTCTAGTAGATATTTTCTAAGGACCAAAGATAGTATAGAGGTTAAGGTGCTTGCCTCGCATGCAGCCAACTGGATTGATCCTGACACCACACAGGATTACTTTATTTTATTTTTATTTTTTTGCTTTTTGGGTCACACCTTGTGATGCACAGGGGTTACTCCTGGCTCTGCACTCAGGAGTCACTCCTGGCGGTGCTCAGTGGACCATATGGGATGCTGGGAATTGAACCCGGGTCGACCGCGTGCAAGGCAAACGCCCTACCCGCTGTGCTATCTCTCCAGCTCCACATAGAATTACTTTAATACAGAGCCCTGAGTAGGCTCTGAGCATAGCTGGGTGTGGCCTCGAAACGGACAAAACCCAATTTATCTGAGTGTCCCCCTACATGAACTCCTGGGAGGTTTGAGAATATTCCCTTTGCAGAATCTCCTGTTTCAGCACGAGGAGAGTTGTGTCTGTGATTGTGACTCAGCCCTTCTCTTTCATGCTGGCCTGCTGTTGTGGGAGATTGATTGGGATGAGAACATCATTTTTCTCTTGGATTTGGTTAGCAATCTTGACCCCCTTCGGGGAATTTCAGCTGTTTTATATAAAGGACAATAAAACTAGGTGAAGAATGGAAAACACAGAAAAGCGTATTTAAATGCCCTTAAGTACTGGCAAAGTGAATGTTTCTAAATAAAAATATGGAAACTGATGTCTACCTCTCTGAACAGGGAGACATGCAGTGAGAAGTTACAACTCCGAAGTGCAGCTGTCCTCCTGCGACCTCTGTGGAGACTCTCCCGGATGCCTTTCCTGTGAGAACAGAGCCTCGGCCACTATCTCTCATTCCTTGATCCTTTTGGTTTTGTCTTTCGTGTTTCTGATCTCTTCGCAGCATTGGCTGTGATGGACTTTTTAAGGACTGATTGTAACATTTAGAAGTCACATGTGATTGTTTCATTTTTGTAATCAAAGATTGCATCTATTTGGAGAGGTCACTTTTCCCCCCTTCCTGGGCTTATAGGGTAGCAGGGAGGCAGAGTGGGTCTTCCCTTTGTCCGAGCATGTCTGGACTCCGGATGGGACAAAACGACACGGAATGAATGACAGATCTCTGTTATCTCCCCCTCTTAACATGTTTTAGGACTGCGGTGGGGGATGGGGGAGTGTTTGTTTCCTCCAGAATAAATGTTTCTGTTTTGGGTTTTTAGATTAGTTATTCTCTTTGCTTTTTTTTTTTTTTAGAAGAAATGAACCTACTTTCTTAAACATTTTGCACTGGTGTTGGTTGTAGTATTCAAGATGAATTTCCTGGACTCTTTTCCAGAGAAAACAACTGGAAGAAAGATCTTGTTCCCTTCTCTTTGCATATCTGCACTTGTCCTACAGCTCACAGAGCCTCAATATTACCATTTTTCTTTTTTTTTTCAGAAAGTAAATATTAGATTTTTTTTCTATTTAGAATGCAGGCAGTGAAATAAAAAACAAAATGGTAGCTTAAAAAACAACAAAAAAGTTTTTTTTTTTTTTTAACTGTAGAGGCCACACCACCTGGTGCAGTGCTGTAATTGAACTCAGGGCTTCATACATGCAGAGCATGTGATCTCCTGCTTGAGAACCTCGTTCTGAACCAAAATGGGGCCTGAAAAAGAGTTTGGGGTTTGTTGGGATCAGAGTGTTAACAGTTCTGTTAATCTAAAATATTCCAGGGCTTTGCCCAGGATCTGATAGAAATTGCCGATGCTCCAGTTCTCTAGGGACTGGAGTTTGGGCCTCAGACGACCCTACCTGGTGACATGGAATGCTTGCTCTCAGTCATTCAGAAGATTCTTGAATTTTGAGCATCTGAGTCATTGAGCATCTGTATTCAGAAGACTGTTATTCATATTTCTGGTTGTCAATTTTATTTTATTTTATTATTGTTATTATTATATGATTTTTGGGTCACACCCGGCAATGCTCAGGGGTTACTCCTGGCTCTGCACTCAGAAATTAACTCCTGGTGGTGCCCAAGAAACCATACGGGATGCTGGGGATAGATCCTGGGTAGGGTACATGCAAGGCAAAAGCCCTACCCACTGTACTATCGCTCTGGTCCCTGGGTGTCAATTTTAAAGAAAAATTCATCTTCTCTCTCTTTATCTTTTTAAAAATTTCTCTCCTGTCTTCTTTTGTTTCTTCTTTTGAAATATATTAAAAAAATTTCAGATATATACCAAAAAAAAAAAAAACCCAAACAAAAACCTAAAGCTCTCTTAATAAATCTAAGAAGAAATAGTTTAATCTTGATTCTTAACTCCATGGTCTAGCTCTCAAGTGGACATCAGAAAAATAATTGCTGTGGGTTCCAAAAAGACTGCATTACAATATCTTTAACTGTATAAAAATGAATCTATCAAAATAAAGCACATAACATATTTAAAGCACATTAAAATATGTCTTGTCAATGAAATGCTTCCTTTTACTATATGATTCTATTTTATGCTTTTCCAGATATTCTAAGATTAGTGTCTTTGATTTAGTGTTTTTGTTACATTTTAATCTGTGAAACATTCTGCCAGTATAAAAATCCAGATCTCTTTTCTAACACTTTGTTACTTACTTATGTCATAATTGTCCTAAATTTTCAAAATTGTAAAAGTAAAGTAAGTAAAGGCCCTCCCGTTGATCATCGATTTGCTCGAGCGGGCCCAGTAACGTCTCCATTGGAGACTTTGTTGTTACTGTGTCTGGCATATCGAATACTCTCGGTAGCTTGCCGGGCTCTCCAAGAGGGGTGGAGGAATCGAACTTGGGTCGGCCATGTTGGCTGCGTGCAAGGCAGACGCCCTACCCGCTGTGCTATCGCTCCAAAATTGTAAATAATGTAATTTTCTTTGCTTGCATTCATTTTTGAAGGGGGCACACCTGGCTTTGTCCAAGCTTACTTTTGGCTCTGGGCTTAAGAATCATTCCTGGCAACCTTGGGGGACCATATGGGTTGCCTTGTGAAAGGCAAGGACCGTATCCACTGTACTATCTCTCTGACCGTATGTATATTCTGGCAATATACCAATTACCTTTATTTTGATAATATTCAATAGCTGCTTTCAACACTTCTGTACTAGGTATTTAAAAAGCTTGGAGCTATGGTTTTTCTTCATCATTTTCAACAAAGCTGACTTATTAACCTGCTGGTATATAAACTGGAATTCTTTGTAATAATCTTAAAATTTGTTTTGGGTATCTTATATTAATTTCTACAAAAATGTGTTATAAATACCTCTCTGGCTTTCTTAGCATGAAAAAAAGTACTTATTGTGCGTTTGCCAAGCAGTTACCACGGGCCTATTGTACTACCTGGTGTATATCCTGGGTACATCATTTTTTGTATGTTGCAGATTTGAGGCAGAGTAAGTGCACTAGCTTTTGGAGGAGTTTCAGAACCTTTTATACTCTCAGTAGAGGCTTCCATTAGAAGTCTATCTACTCATTTTTCTTTGTTTTCGATTCCAGTATAACACAATACCTCTAAAAACTTAGGGTTCTGTCATTGATTCAAGTGTTTTATATATATGTTCATTTGACATTTTAGGGCAAAGGTATTTTGACTTTCCTTGGGAGTAATTTGAAGTGCAATTATTTTGATCACTACTTTAAATAGAGAATTCTTTTTATGTTTTATTCAAGAGACTAAGTAGTAAACATACTTTTTCCAATTTAATAACTTTATTAAGTCATCAGTTTATAAACATACATTTAAAATGAAATATGTTATTAGAGCTGGAGGTTTGTTTCAAATCTGCTTCTAGACAGTTGTGTTTTCATGTGTGTTTTCAAAAGACAGTGTCATGTCTCACATTTCATAAAATGTCATTTTCATTTCAGTGGTTGTGACCAAGGATTCCTATTCCATAAATGATTTCTAATTTTCTGGCTTCAAATGACTCTTATACATTGGTGTGTCTATCTCTGTAATGGGGATGATGTCGATATATATGTTTCTGCTCTTTAAAGATTAATTTTATCTTCATGTTCTCATGAAGCCACGATTGTGTTGAATCAGTGGTAGAAGTCAGTTTTATATTTTGTTTTTAGATGCTTAGGATTTATCTTTGACGGTGTCAATGGAGTATGAGTCTCTTATGACCCTTCAAAAATTTATGTTTTGGAATTTTCCTAGAGTGCAGCTGATATAGCAGAATCAATTTTTATGTATATAGAAAAAATATATAATCATATTCAAAAATCTTCTATTTTGATAAAACTCTGTTGCATGTAAGAATACTGTTGAAATAAAATGATACCCCCCAAAACTAATGCATTATATATTAAGGTGATACTGCACTTAAAATTTGAAAATAAATGTTTGTTGTTAATTGTACTTTATTTCGTAGTCCAAAGGAAATCATAGTTTATCAATAAAACTTAGTAATAAAAAGTAAAATTCCACCTATTTATTATTAGTGTTATTGTTAGTGCTGTTTTACTTTAAAGTGTATGTATAACATATTTCCTTTACCCAAATCAACTTAATGATGAGCAATAAGGTGTCTGAGAATCGTTTTGGGTAGGCATTGTGTTAAAGGAGTTTTCGAAATGCATGAGGTGGAAGAAAGTTAATTCCAGCTCCCATCACCTTTCTCCACATTCTTTGCGTTAGCATCTACGGTGGAGTTCATGGAAAAGTAAGTGGTACATAAAAAAAGAAAATAGGAGGTGAAGACTCACTCAACTTCTGGAAGTTAGAGATTTAGAATGCATGGTGGGTATACCTGGGAGAAAGTTGAGAAATGCATTATTGCACACAGTGTAAATATTCTATCCTGTTTTGGTTCCAGTCCAGTGTTTTTAACATTATTTATTTGTGTATTATTTGGTTTTGGGGCCCAAACCAGTGGTGCTCAGGGCTTACTCTTGGCAGTGCTCGGGAACTAAATTCAGTGCCAGGTTGGCTGTACACCAGTACTACCTCTCTGGTCCATTTTTTTTTTAATAATTTATTTCTTTATTGAATCACTGTGGGAAAAGTTACAGAGCTTTCGGGTTTAGGTCTCAGTCATGTAAGTATCAAACACATTTCCCTTTACCAATACTTATTTTTAACCGTGAACCCCAATAGAACCCCACCTCCCACCCCTCCCAATTCCTGTGAGGCAGATGAGTTCTAGTTAATACTCTATCTACTTTGACTAGATACATTGTTTCGATAGAAGATGCACAATTATTGTTTAGAGTTTACGACCCCCTCCCCCCCCAATCAGATATGCTGAAGCAGCGTTGTGAAATGATTTGCTTTCTACAGCTGGGTTTAAGAATAAAATGATGTCTTGGATTTGGATTTGGATTTGGATTTGGATTTCTGCTGTTTTACTTATTAACCCTGGAAGTATTTCTATTAAAAGTTAGATAGTTAAGAGATTGGTTTCTGTGCTCTGGAGGTGTGGCCGTGCCGGAGAGCCGCTCGTGGGGGGCAGCTGGTGACCTCGGTCGGGCGTGAAGGACGGCCCAGAACGCCCCCCTTCCCATGAGGCCCCTGCCGCCCCCCCGCCCCCGGCTCAAACCTGCTGTCCACAAGGCTCCCGTGCGGCCGCCATCTTTCTTTCCAGAGAGGAGCTGGTCCATTTTTTTTTTTAACCTGCTTTTTTACTGCTTTTTTACCTCCTTTTTTACCACATTTTTTTTAACCTGCTTTTTTATCGCATTACCCTGCTGTGGATTTTTCACATGTTTATGAAATGCTAACAATTGTATGGTGGGTGTGAATTAGTCATGATTTTGAATCCAGTGACACATGGCAATGTCTGGAGACAGTTTCATGGTCTGTTCTGGAGAGGATGGTACTGCCAGATACTGGGGAAAGGCCAAGGGTACTGTAAAGTAGCCTACAATGTACAGGACAGTTCTCGACATCCAAAAATTATCTAGATCAAAATACCAGTAGAGTTAATGTTGAAAAACTCTAGCTAAGTCATTTCCAGATCACCTCGTCTTGTCGATGAACTTAATGTGATTGTCATCTTCACACAACGAAGGAGTCACTAGAATGATTGGACAGAGTAACAAGTCTCAACTTTCTCAACTCTCGAAAACCTAATTTGCAAAAGATACCTGCAGTTTGTTTTTTGAAAAAAAAAAAATATATATATATATAATGGCACTTTCCAAACTTGCTTGGGCATCCGATTCCCCTATAAAATTTGGTTTAACAAAAATGTCTTGATTTTTATTTATAGAAATCTTTAGTCTGTACAGGATTAGGTTATGAATCTTAATAGTTAAGTTTCCAGATCATTCTTATAATCATTTTTCTTGGGAAACCTCTGGAATATATTGTCGTTTTCATACCTTTGTGGATCATCTTCCCAAGAAAGGCTCAACCTAAGAGTTGCTTGGCAAATGTGACAATGT